TGCCTAAGATGTTTGATATTCAGACAGATAGTGAGGTTAAGCTTAACAGCCTAGGTTGTACGGTAATAACAATAAGCTTGTCTTCTGGAGGGTTAGCAACCCATTAACCTTTATAAATCAGCTTTGTTGGATGAAAGAGCACCTAGCAGAGTAGGAAAGCATACTCATGGGTGTCCCTCGGGGGTCATGGAGGTGTGACCTTGAGTCCTCTATGTGGCCCCAGCCCACTCTTCTGTGGCACCAATTCCCCTGTTCTGTTTGCCAGGAACCATAAACCAAGAGGCCTTGCTGTGCAATGCCCTTCTATCGCCACACTTCTGCCTTAGAGCCTGCCAACTATGGGCTGGATCCCCTGAGCTTGGATCAAATTAAAACTAAATTAAACTTCTCTCCTTTTAAGTTGTACGCATTGGGTATTACGTCTCAGTGCCAAGAAAGCTGGCTAATACAGAGAACTGGTAACTGCAGTGGTGCTGTTGCTGTGACTCCCTGAACATGCGCTTTGAAACTGGCTTCCTGGAGAAGTTTGGGAAGGTTCGGAGACGCCAGCTTGAGAAGTCATAGAAGGCTGATGGGTGAGTCTGCTTAGAGCTCAGAAGACCAAAATGTTGATAGGAGTAAAGCTAGGCTCAAGAAATTTTAGTTGGAAACAAAGAATCCCCTGGCATTTGGATCAGAGAACACATCTGTTAAGAATATTTGTCTACATTTTGACCATGTCATGAGACTATGTGGAAGGCAGAGATTAAGGAAAGTGAGTTAATTAATGTGGCAGAGGAAATTTCACAGCAGCCCAACATTCAAGCTGTGGCATGGGTAACCCTGGCACTTTTCACCTAGGCATGTCATCCAGGCTCTTTTCACGTAGATATGAAGGCAGGACAAAAGATGCTTAAAAACTTTCATTATGGCCCAGAAAAATCCATGTATAAAGTTAGTATCAAAGAAAACATGGCGGCTAAAGAGATTAGTGTCATTAGAAAGTAACCAAGTACTTTGTATAGGGATGAAAAGAAAGATGCCTTGAGGTCACCTCGGGAATCTTTAAGACCTCACCTACTGAAGATTAAGATTACAAAAGTATCAGCCTTTCTTAAAGAGACTCCCAGGGGCCTCCTGCTCAAGAAGGACTTCTTGGGGAATCTCAGGAAGGCCACATTTCCCCAGGCCCAGTTATCCAGGCAGTTAGAGGGCACTGAAACCATGATCCCATGGACCCTGACTACACTGTGCAGGCAGCAGGCCTTGGTGACCTCCACGTGATTGTGGTTTTACCAGCATGCAGCATGCAAGAGTTGTAGGAGTCAGGGAGGCTTTTACCAGATTTCAGAAGAAAAGGTAGTAGCCAGGCGATCAGTCCCTGAGAAAGCAGTGCATAACACTGTGGGAACAGACTTTAAGGTGCAGCGGAGATCCAGGAGGGTGGTGATGCCAGGAAGGCGGAACATCTTCCAGGAAAGCAGAAAATTGCACGTGGAATCAGTCCAAAAGGAAGGCCACAAGGGGGCTTCACACGGCAAGCCAGAGGCCATAGGACAGGGCTGTCCAAGCTCTTTGGAATGTGCAACTTACTATCATGTAGAGCCAGCCAAATAGCTCAGTAGATTAAAGTGCCTGCACGCAGACACAGGGGCCAGGTGTTCAATCCCCAGGCCTGCCAACACCCGCCCCCCTGCATGCTGAGATGGCAATTGAGACTGGGCGTGGCAGTGCGTGCCTGTAATCCCAGCTCTTGGGAGGCCGTAAACAGGCAGATCACTAGGAGTCCAATCTAGTAGTGAAACCCTGAACACCCTGAAGACCCTTCCCTAAAATAAAAATAAAAACTTACCATCACATGCCCCCCATGGCAGATATGGGTCCACAGGACATAATCTCTGGCCCAGCTGGGTTTTGGTCTTGCTTTGGTCTAACTCTTTTCTATTCCTTCAATCTTCCTCTTTTGAATGAGAGCATTTATGCTGTACCATTGTACTTTGAAGATGTGTGATCTGTTTCTGATTTTTATAGAGGATCATAGCTGAGAGTTTGCCTTGAAATTCGACATTTAAAATGCTAGAAATGCTGAGACCTAGGAGGGGATCCCTGCCCTTCTGAATATATATGGTGTACTTGTATTATGTTAGGCAGAATTCAGAACTTGCTATTTTCTTTATTTTGAGATTATGATTTAAGGAGATGCATTTGAGTGTAAAGTTGAAAAGCAGTGGATGGTAACCATTATTTCTGAAATCAATTTTCCACCTTTTTTTTTTCCTTTGGCGGAACCTAGAGTTGAACTCAGACCCTTGCGCTTGCTACGGAAGCACTTATTCTACTGAGCCATCTCCCTGGCCCCCACTGAAATCAATTTTGTGGTCTAAGAAACACCTAGTAGATTAGTAAAACATATTCCTGGGCGTGTCTGGGTGTGTCATGGGGCGTGGCCATAGGCGTGTCTGGGTGTGTCATGGGGTGTGGCCATAGGCATGTCTGGGTGTGTCATGGGGTGTGGCCATAGGCGTGTCTGGGTGTGTCATGGGGTGTGGCCATAGGTGCTCTATGGGGTCCCAGCACTGACCCCCTGCTGTGCTTCCTGCTGCCAGGAAGTAAGCTGTTCCATTCTTCTGTGCATTTCTGCCACATCTGTGCTTTAGAGCAAATTAACCATGGACTGAATCCCTGAACCATGAGCTGAATTTAAAGTTCTCTTCAATTTGGGCATGTCCAGCAATAAAAAATGTGACAAATATACCCTCTCTTGAAAGAAAATCTAAGAGACGAAAGCATAGCAGTGAATGTCCATGGCCTTTGCAGGCCTTGAGCTCCGAATAAAGCTTCCACCCACCAAGCTCTCCGTAGACGTCTGTCCCACCAGAGCCTGTTCATGAGTGCAGAGTGAAATACTCTCAGAGCAATGTGTCTCTCACGGGCATGGGCCTTTTATACTGCCCGGGGGGGGACACAGGGCCAAGGGCCAACCACTTTCTGAGTAATGACTCTCACATGGAATTGTGTGTATTCATGTTGGAGTCAAACACCTTCTCCCCAATAACACCTTTTAGATGAGAAAGAACATATACTTAGAAAAATATAAACATTACTGTTGCACTACTAAAAGCTCAAGCAGCTAAGGAGAAGACAACCCAGATTAATCAAAACTTTTCATCAAGAAAGTGAAAGGACATCCCAGAGAAGGAGCAGAAATATTTGCAAATTACAAGTAGAAAAGCATTTAAAATATATAACAAGGGATTACAACTCAGTAATAGAAGATAATTATGTATCAAATCAATAAAGGATCCGAATGAGTATTTCTGTAAGCATAATAAAATTTACTTTAAAAGAGTGAATTTTATAGCTTGTAAACTACATCTCAACAGAACTGTTAAAAAATAATAGGCAAGGACGGAGAGTAACTAAGTAACAAAATTGGTTTCATAAGCCAACATGTCATACAAACACAAGCAAGGGGGACATTTCCTGTTCCCACCACACAGCGGGGACCACGCGCCCAGCCTCAGCGTTCACATCAATGCTGGGAAGGTTCCGCTCTAACTTCCAAGCAATTCCCTTCCAACTCTGCAGTTGGCTGATAGGTCCTTTAATGAAGCCATAGACACATCAGGCTTTCTTCCCTGAGATAATTCCTTTATTTAAGACAAACTTGATCCACTCCTGAGATATTTACATCAGCTCATTTTTTGGGTAAATGTGACACACCAACTGTTCACTGCAAATAGCACAATGTTCACAGCATACATGTCGTATCCCAAAAGCAGTGTCTGGCATCACGCACAGCGCTCATGGCTGCAGACTCAAGACCACGTCTATGCTCTGAGCCTTCTTGGCAGAGAAGTGGGGAAGGCTGCGTGATGTCTCTGTGTGGAACTCTACATCCTACTTCTACTCATTTGGACACTTTCTTCATTGTGATGGATGCAAGAGAGGTAAATCCTCCATGGACACTCCACAGAATCACCTCCTGGAAGAAGAGTTTCTTCAGACAAGAAATAGTGCCCCACTTCCCACCTGGGCCCAGAACAGAGCTTGTCCCTGAGAAAGTATGTAGGGTGTTGTATGCCAAGATGAGTGGATGGGTGGGTGGATGGATGGATGGATGGATGGATGGATGGATGGATGCAGGCATGCATGCTTTGTTGGTAAGATGGAAGGAATGAGGGAGGAGAGGGAGAAGAAAGGAAGGAAGAAGAGGAGAGGGGATGGGAAGGAATGGGAAGGGAAGGGGAAGAGAAGGAAAGGGAAAGGAAGGGAAGGGAAGGGAAGGGAAGGGAAGGGAAGGAAAGGGAAGGGAAGGAGGGAGGGAGGGGAGCAGACAAATGCGTGGGAAGATAAATGGAAAGAAGGGAAGGACAGAACAGATGAAGGATGGATGGATGCAAGCATGAGTGCATTGTCAGTCAGATTGAAGGGAGGGAGGGAGGAGAAGGAGAGGGAAGGATGGAAGGAAGGAAGGAAGGAAGGAAGGAAGGAAGGAAGGAAGGGAGGGAGGGAGGGAGGGAGGAGGGGAGGGGAGGGGAGGGAAGGGGAGGGGATGGAAAGGAAGGGAAGGGAAGGGAAAGAGGGGAAGGAAGCAGACATTTGTGGGAAGATAAATGGAAAGAAGTGAGGGAGGACAGAACAGATGAAGGATGGATGATGGATGGATGGATGGATGGATGGATGGATGGATGGATGGATGGATGATGAATAGATGGATGGAGAGATAAATGGAGATATAAATCAGTGGGAGTAAGAATAGATAGTGATAAGTAGTTGAAGTAAGTATAGGATGGAAAGGAAAGAAGGAAGGGAACTGGATGGATGGATAGATATGTGGCTAGATAAATAGGCAGCTGGATGCGTGGATAAATTCGTACATAACAGAGCTCCCACCAAGAATGTCCTTGACCACTTTGGGACCACAAGAACATCTAGAATTTGACATTACTGCTGGTCTCCTTGGCACGTCAAAACCTGAGGTTGCAGCAGGGCTTCAATCCATCCCTAAAGAGATTCAACCCTGCTGTACTGAGCTGTACCCAACAGCTGTGCCACTCTGTGCCACACTAACTCTGGGGACACGAGGAATCAGGCAAACCCAAGCTGATGCTAGTGGGGGCTCATGGAGCCACGGTGGTGAGTGACTGTGGTTCTACCATGAGGGGAGGAAAGGAGGAGGTGGTCAGGAGGGACACCTGAGCTGAGACCAGATTCGCAGGCAGGCATGAGCCTGTATGTGCGTGTGTGCGTGTGCATGTGCATGTGTGTGTGTGTGTATGTGTGGGTGTCTGTAAGAAAGCATATGCCCAAGGCAGTGGATGATATGGTGGCACACACAGGCCCTGCCAACCAGGGCACAGAGGGTGAGGAGCAGAGCCAGCAGGACACTCTGGGTCTCAAAGGCCACTGTCAGCCATGGAGGGCTTTGGCATATTCTCGGTGATACGGTCAGACCTGCATGCACCAAGAAGTAGGTGCTGCAGTTCGGGCTGTCAACCTCAGAAGGGCTGAGCAGCTTTCTCTGGGGAAAATCCTGCTGCACATTGGCATCTTGGCCCACCACAGAGAAAGCAGTGCCAGTCTCCTAGTACCAGAGCAGCTCCAAGCCCCATGATAAGCCTGGCTGGGGGTGAAGGTGTAGAGGAGGAGGCTGTATGCACCAGGCCTGGGGACAACCTGGCCAGGCAATGTACCCCGACATGGCCAAGCAGAGGTCCTCTACACAAGCCCTGAGATGTGCCACATGGAGGAACACAGACAGAGGGACACACGTGGGGTCTCATGGCCATGTCAGGGCTGGAGGTAAGAAGGAATTCTACAGCGTGGATCAGGAGGGTAAGGCCCTCCTCCGAGGTCGCCCATACTGAAGAAGGAAGTTATTTGGGGAAACTCGCATGGTCCCAGTGCAGTTTCACAAATTTACCCTGAGGAGGAGAAATTGTATTGGATACGAAAGTGAGCTCGTGGAAGCCTTCAGACCTGCACACAATTGGCTTCTGGAGCTGGGGGATATTCCCCCAGCCTTGTGGAGAGCTCCCTGCTTAAGCCAGCACCGTCCTCAGTTGGCCTGGTTCGGGAGCCCATGCCACAGGAAAGTCAGAAAGCAGCAGGGCCGGGGCCTTTCTCTCCTCAAAGGCCCAAAGCCCCCTGCCAGGTAAGGCCCAGCGCAGTTAGGACCCGGGAGCTGGCGGCACAGACTCCTGCCGGGCTCCTCCACCAGCCCTGTGAGCGCGCTATCCCCTTGGCTTCCTTTCCCTTCAGATCTCAGGTCAGCAGGCTCTCCTGCGCAGCCCAACTCCGCAATCTTGATCACTTTCTTTTCTCCTTCTTCTCCAAGGCTCTGCCCCTGAAACCAGGAAAGAGGCCACAGGAGCCCCAGTTAAACACGGTCAGGAGGCCACCGTGGACGGTCAGGACTGGACATCGAGCTGAAGGGTCCTGGGTGATCCTCACACTCCGTGCTGAGACTGAAGATGATATAGAAAGTTTGAGAGCACCTGGTGGCTGCTGGGAATCCATACTTTACATCTAAGCATGTATGTGTACTGAACAGAAGCACCAGACAGCCCAGTACAGGAAAGCTGAGAAAGGCAGGTAAGAGAGGCCACCCAACCTGTCCTCCCTCTCCTGGGATTCTGCATCAACAGATTCAACTAGCCATAAATGAAAATATTGTCCCCAAACACTTTACTTCCTGTCCTCGTCCCCTAGACAGGACAGGTAACAACTTCTGTGCATAGCATTGACAGGCATCATATGTGAACCGGAAATGAGCTAAAGTGTGCAGGAGCCTGTCCGCAGGTTAGAGGCATACACGACACCACTACACGCGAAGGAGTCAAGTATCTGAGGATTTCGGTCCACGTGGCCCAGGAACCAATTCCCTGTGGACGCTGAGGCACGACCGTACCTAGAAGTTGGGGCTCTAGGCCTGCATGTGTGGCCCTCAGCAGACACACACCTCTAGGCAGTGCAATCGCCCAGTTACTTGTAGCTGCTTCTAAGAGCCTGCAGGGTTTGAAAGTCAAGGTTCGGTTCAGGGACATGGTGGGGCTAGCCCATCTTTCTGCTGCAAACCAAAGAGAATGAAAGGTCCTTTGTGTCACATGGGTAGAACTAGTGTCAGCCACGCCGCAACCTTCTATGACGCAGTCCTTACTTGGGTATTTTAGGGCCTCGATGTTAAATTTCTTCCCCAGAACAATCTGTTTACCAAATGAATAGTATTCCTCCTCCCGACACCCCCATTCACAAATCCTGAGCTCGTGCTTAGGAAAGGCATCAGGGCAATTCCAAACTTGTGAAGCTCACTCATAGTGTACAGAGTGTGTCATTCCACAAGGCATAATTGTTATGTTGTAGAGTTTAAAATAATTGTTGATTCTTTAGGGATTTGAGAGGAAAATCTCTGTATTTCTCTGTACAGAGAATAGATGCTATCACAGGCTGTGCAGGTACCGTCTGGCTTGGCTTTAAAAAACTTAAAGACTTGTAAAATGTTAAATACACAAGCCACTAAAAATATCCAGTAACTCTCTTTCCCCTACAGCTTCACTTTGTGGTCACTCTGGATCATGCTAAAAGCTAATGCTGTGTTCTACTTTCTAGCAACCCGGACTTGGGAGGCAGGAAGGAATTCGTTTTGTTTTTGTACAGCCTGAAGGATGCTGGTCACAGAAGAATTTAAAATTCAATTTTTTTTTTAATTTCTTTAATGATGCAAGACTACAGCCACTGTCTATCTGTTCTCTGTTTCTTTTTTGACTTTATTAGTTTTTCTGGTTAAAGAGAGAACCCAGAAAAGTCTGAGCACAAAGCTGTTCTGCATCCCACCCCTTGGGCCCATAGAGATTCTAAGCATGAACCAGTGTGGCCTGTTCCAGGGAGACGCCTGGGATGCTGGCTAGGGAGCTACCTCATGGGTTCACATCTTGGCTTCACAGGACAAAGGACACAGTGCTAAGGCGCCTCGAAGCTCGGGGATGACACATGTTCCCTCCACCACATCACGTTCTCCATTGGTGAGCTGTGTGGGCCTGGATTTCCTGGGGGTGCTGCCCCTCCAAAGCAAGAGGCTGGGAATATGTGGATGGTAGTAGCTCCAAAGGGCTGGACAGTTGAAGGATCAGAAATGCATCAGGGACCCTTCTGAATTGATCGAAAATTGCTAGATGGCCCCAACCCCATTCTATCTTCATTTTTCTTTCTTTTTTGGGGGGAGGGTGTTACTTGCTACCAAATCTGAACTCAGGACCCCATGCTTGTCAAGCAGGCACTGTGCCACTGAGCTCAATCCCCAGCCTCATCGCGTCTTCTTGAGTGTCACTTGAACTCTCGCTACATTGCTCTCCAGAGAACGGAAAGAGCTGCCGGGAGACACCACACGGCAGCTCTACTCCGGCACTTGCGAGACAGAATTTGGATCTGCTTTTCCATAAATCCCATCCCTGAATGCCCCTGGGTTTTCCATTCTCTTCCCAGGCACTACTCCGCTCATCGCTGAGAGTCGATCTCACCATATGTGACAGCTATGTTTGACAGTCAAGGGTACTGGTGGGCCACACTTCTAGGTGTCTGGGTGGGTCGTGGAGGAATGACCTTGGCCACCAGGTACCCTGCCTGGTCCATCCTCACCGCCTCTCTAGGGCTGCTCCTCCTCTGCTTCCTGGCCTGCAAGACATAAGCAGCTTTGCTTGGCCATGCCTCCCCACCCCCAGTGTGCCTGTTCGGAGCCTGCTGGCCATGTACTCAATCCCCCAAAACCATGAACTAAAGCACACCTCGCCCAGCTGGCGGGCATGCTGTGTAAATCCACTAACTGGAAAAGCGTGGCTTTGTTCTCCCACTGTGCACTTCCACAACCCTCTCTCCACAATCATTGGGGCTGGGGGTGGGGGGCCTTCTGATCCCTAAAGGGGAAAATACAGTTTAGCATCTGAGCCAAAAAAAAAAAAAATATATATATATATACATATATATATCACATTATTGAACTAAAAACAAATGGAGCATTTCATTGCTACCTGTGCTAGAAAATTTTTAACTTTATTTGCAAAGCTACCTAAATAAAAAATATTTTGTCTGGCAAAACTTAATTCTAAGAACTTAAATAATGTCAAAACACTTTGATTCTTTCTGGTACACAGAGTTTTTATGGGATACAATAGTAGTTGGCACTGTACATATTGGCTTATAGATGGGGTCAGAGGCTTCGTCACCCTTATTCATGACCTGTATCCCTGGAGACTTCCCGATAGACTCCAACACAAATAGTCATCAAGTGAGATTAATGAAGGGATGTGGGGATCAATCAATGGAATAGATATCCATTGTCAATTTTCCACATTTCTTGATGTTTTTACACAATATGAGCTAAAGAATGTTAACAAATATCAAAGGTTTACTTGTACTTTTCCCAAGATTCAATGAAACTTTTAAATGAAGGCACTAATTTGCAAGCCCAACTCTCTGAGCATCACCACCAGCCAATGGTTGTAGTACATACACAATGGACACTAGAGGGTGCTACACCACTTGTCCAAGAGAAGTGTTAAGCAAAAACATCCATGTGATGCTATTACCGGGCCCTATTTTCAGCAAAACGCATCAACAAAAAATCACCACTACTGCTGCACTGCATAATGTATGACTACTCACTAGAACAATCTGAAAAAAGTTTAGAACTTCAGTTTTCTAGCCATCAAACTTATGAAAAGTGAGCCCACCTCCCCAGTCCCAACTGCCCACACCTCTTTTGAACAAGCCTCCAAGTTCAAAAACTTAAGCACAAATGGAAGAAAAATATTCCCCCATTTATAACAACTAAATCTATGAAAGATTCACCTGAAGTAACACAGAACAAAATGATGAAGGTACACAAGGAAAAAAAAATTTAAAGCATTGCACAATTATTTCCTGTCTCCAGCAACATGTTTGCAAAAGAATGTTTCACCGTTGACATGTTCAACTTCACGCCCTCCTGCAAAGAAACTTAAAACACATGCATTATGGACTGGGAAATCGCATCCAATGGAATTCTGACCCCACTGGTGACATTTCAAAGGCTTTGTGTGTAACTGAATGGAGGAACAAAGAAAATTCTCACAAATTCTTTTTCTCAAAAGATCTGAAAAATCTGTCAATATTTTCTGAGCCATCATAAGCCACAGATGTTATCAGCAGCCAGAACTGCGCCGGCTTTAAAAGACCTAGTCCACATGTGAGGCTGCTCTAGAAATAGGTCTTCAGACATTTACATGGAAACCAAGTGAATTTCCTTTTGCAGTGTTGTAAAATGTTCATGCCTTCTTTAGAGTCAGAGCAAGCAACTCTGCTAGGTTTTTTGCTTAACACTATTTTCTGCAGCCCATGAAATTATGAGGAATGCCCAAAATAACAGGCAGAAATAACAGGACAGGAGATAGAACTTGAAAAATAAGCCCAGAATGGAACTCTGAGAAACACTGGCTAATTAAAGGCTAAAATTAAGTAGCTCAGGGAGATGTCCAGGGAGAAAGATGATCCTGGAAGGTGCATTATGGGGTGACTGGGAAACTCTCCTCTCCTAACACGCGTTGATTTCCATGAAGGCAAGGCCTGATTAGGAACCGAGAAAGCATGGCGCTTCTGTGACTGCATTTGTACCCCTCCCGGCCAACTGAGCAAAAGCCACATGTCAGCCCTGACTGCCTTGATGGCTAAGGGATGAGCTGATTGGCTGCAGAGCTTCCTGAGTGAATTCAAGTCCCAACTTCAGGCCCCGAGGAGACAGAAGGTGTGGGTGAAATGGGAAACTAGCTTAGGTTTACACAGAGAGAAAGTCCCTGACCTGGAGTAATTTTTTTTTTAATTCTGAAGTTTTACTAGTCAAATTATACCCTAATTATAATGATGCCCCTTCTTCCTTCAAGGGATGCAGGCTTGCCGGGGAACACTGTGGAAGTCTTCTTATTCACTTGAAAGTGGGAACTGGTGAGTCTCAGAGGGAATTGGAGTGACAGATTTGGCACTGGACTCCGCTCAACTTCCTTGCACCAGACCACACGCACCCCCAGCTCTGAACAAGCCCCCCCAGTGGAATTTTCCAGGCGGAAGCCACCTGCCAAATTAGGCAAAGCCGCCCTCCTCCCTGCTCAGCCCCCCAGCCCCAGCAGTTTCCATATCTCAATATGCAGTGCCTTCTCCTTTTCCTTTCCCAGTGAGAAGCTGCACCCCCCACAACAAAAGCTGCAACTTGGTTTGTGAAGTCCAGCAGTAAACTCGCACCACCGGCCAGCTCAGTGTCCAAGGAGGCAGACTGGCTTGCCTTCCTCCCTAATTCAGTGCCACAGGGCAAGTCACTTAACCACCTCATTAGGATCACAGTCACAGCCCTGCCACAGCCTCCTTCCCCAGAGCTGGCCACCATTAATATCTGTAAAGATCCAGGAAGCCTTCTAGCTGAAAGGTGTCATAAAAGCAAAACCTATCACTATTATCATCAATAAACTCTAAGGTGCTCTTGCCTGTCACCATCTAAGAGAAATCAGTCACCCACCTTGGTCCATCAGCCCCCTAATGAGCCACCTGCAGCCACAGAAATGTCCAAAATCGACATTGATGGGAACTCATGTTCCAGGAATGACAAAGAGCCACTGCTTTAATTTGGAGCCTTCAGTTTAAACTCTTAGAACCTCCTGGTCTCTAAGCCACGAGGGCAGCCCAGAGGCACCACAGCTGTCACCCTGCCCTCAGAGGCTCACAGGAGCCCAGGGGGGCCTGCTGAGTGTGTGCCTCCCCCGCTGGGAAGAAGGGCAGTAACGCTGTCCAGAAGCAACTTGGAAATACAGAGATAAGTGGGTCTGTTTGACCCTCTGGCTATTTAAACATCTCAAGCCCTGCTCAAGTTCCCTTGGGACCTGCTGCTGTGGTCTTGTCCTCCTCCCTTGCAAACCGCTTCATTCAAACTCTCACTGACAAAGTGACCAGGAGTCACTTTTGTCCAAAGTGACCAATGGACAAAAGAACATTGTCTGTGTGCTTCTGCTTTTTACATGAGTGTCTCCTCCAAAGGAGACAGGGACAGGACCTTTGCCTGTCACCACAAACCTTGGGTGCCTCAAACTTTCAATCATGCACATACACCATGTGTTCAAAATGCATCTTGCAACTAACTGGTCTTTGGCCAAACACAGGACATGGATCTTAAATGTTAGAAGGGTCTATTCTCATTGTGAAAGGGGGACGCCTTGATCTGGGGAGATTCTCGTTGCTAATAGGGGAGATCTTTCTGAGCAAGACCCATGGAAGGCAACTATGCTCACCCCCGTACCACCAGTGCGGATGAGCAAGACCGTGGAAAGGTGAGCTTCATTCATGAAGGCAAAGTAGAGCAAGACGCCACCAGCCAAGTCTCACCCCCTCCTCCATTCTTGGCCTGACCTCAAGGGAAGTATCATCCATGGGGGGCTGACTCAATGCCTGCAAGTTAATCTGTAGCATGTACTGACATTTGGAACGCCCCAGACCAAAGGGTGCTGTTTACGGTCCCACTCACCTTCTGGCAGTCCTGCCTGCTGGAGCTGAACCTGCAGCCAGATGTTGACACGCTGATCCCAGGCTCCCGGGGGCTCCACCTCCCACAGGCGCCCCCGCTCCTCGGGACAGGCCAACAGGAACTGCCTGCAGACTGAGGGGAAAACATGCACCGGAGTCAGGAAGACTCCTGCCTCGCCCAGTTCACTGGGCCAGCGCTCTCCTGACTCACATGTGGCCCTCATCCAACCCCCCTGCAGCAACCCCTGCACCCCAGCATCTGCGCTGCTCTCTGCTGCACTCAGTGTTTTCTCAGCAGCAGCAGCAGCAGCAGCAGCAGCAGCAGGCTCACCTGCTCGGCAGGGCTCCTAGTACACCCATCCTGGGCCCATGTTTGGAGAACTATAATAAGACACAATCACCCTTTGATATCCAGCAGGGGTGGCCCCAGAACTCCCCGCAGTACTCAGATCTGAGCATGCCACACTCCTATCTACTGGCATTGTGTTTGCATAGAACTAGGAACTACCTCCTATAGGTTTAGATCCACTTTAGATAAATTATAGCCCCCTAATACAATAGGGTGCTGTTAAGTAGCTGGGACGTTTACCATTTAGAGAAAAATGGTGAAGGAAAAGAGCGGTACATGTTCAGTAAAGACATTTTCTTTTCAAATGTTTTCAATCCAGGCTGAATCCATGAATTTGGAGCCTACAGACATGGAAAGCTGCCCATGCCATAGACCAGGCCGCTCGAGCACTGCAAAGTTAGTTCTTGCAGTTTGAAAGCTGGAGGTCCAAGATGTAGAAGCCACAGGTGTGATTTCTCCTGGGACCTCTCCCATTGGCTTGCACATGGCCATCTTCTCCCTGTGTCGCCCGCTCATGGCCACTTCTGTGTATAAACATGCCTGCTCTTTCCCTTCTCCTCCTCCTCCTCCTCCTCTTTCTTCTTTTTCTCCTTCTCCTCCCCTTCCTCCTCCTCCTCCTCCTTCTTCTTCTTCCTCCTCCTCCTCCTCCTCCTCCTCCTTCTTCCTCTCTCTCTCTCTCTCTCTCTCTCTCTCTCTCTCTCTCTCTCTCTCTCTCTCCAAGGACACCACTCATACTGAAGCCAGGGCTCATATACATAACCTCATTTAACAATAAAGACCATTCCAAAGGCCTTGCATTTTCACATGCAGTCATGTTGAAGGCTTTAGCAAATGGACTGGAGGGACACAACTCAGGCCCCAGAACCCCTCCACCCTGAGCTTCCCCTGCCCTTCTCTCCCTTGGAAGCTTCCAGCTCATGCTCTGCAGCCTCCTTGATTCCAGAGGGTCCTTGAGGCTCCCAGATATCTATACCCATGTTTGCAGAATGAGCAGTTTGGGATGCCAGTAACCAACTCCAGGCAATGGGGAGCCACTCCAGTCAAACAGGTGTTGGTGGGGACCTCAGACAACTAAGCCCTCTCTTAGTTGTTGTAGGCTGCAGGAAAAGAACCCAGGCAGAAACCCACAGAACCCAATGCTAACTATCTGAAAAGGAGTGAAATGCTAGCAAAGTACTAGATCTAACACCTTCTGTCCTCCTAGCTTGGCCAACAAGACTTCTTAACAACATAGACAGTCAGCTTCCAATGTAGAATTTGGACTCCTGGAGGGCTGCCTCACAATGTGGCAATATCAGGAGAGCAACCCCAAGCACTCACCTGAACCTTCTCCCTGCCCTGCTGCCTGCCCCTCCTCAGGGGGCCTTCACACACAGTTGTGGACCCTGGCCCACACTTTATCCACAGCCCAACAGCATCCCCAGAGGCCTACAGATGTGACCCAGGCGCCGCACCCACCCTCAGGAGCACAGATACAGGCCTGGAGTCCGGGCAGCCTCCAGGCCCAGTGGTAGGAAGCTGGGTCGGTTCAGAAGGAGCAGTGTGGACTCGGGTGGACGTACCTCCTCGGCCCAGAGGAGATGCAGTAGGAAAAGGCTGAAAGCCCAGGGCGCAGCCCAGAAGAGCAGGAGAGCACCAAGTACACGCTGCCAGGGAAGGGTGTATGGCTGAACCCCCACAAGAAGAACTATGGTTTGGAATCAGCGCTTCTAGGTCTTTCTCTGCAGACAGAGACTCAAGAAGGGCAGCAGCCCCCTGGAGAACAGGCTCTTCCGCTTCCTTTCAAGACAACTGACCCCAGGGTAGCCCAGGGGTGGGAGTGGGGCTCAATTGGCTCCGCAGAGGTCTCAGCACTACAAGAGAACAGAGCCTGGCAGGGTGCTGGGTGTAGGCAGAGGCCTGGCAGTAAGTGCAGGAGGCCTGGAGCACACTTTGTGCAGAAGCCCAAGGCTCTCCTGAGTTTAATAATAGCTTGAGGGTTTGAAAAATACAAAAAAACAACTAAGCCCACTTGAGGGAAAGTGGTTTTTTTCTCCCTGCTTTTCTTGCAACTTCAGAGCAACAGAAGTTTCTTTGCTGTTTCTCACCCCCCCCCCAGTCATTGTCATTGTTCTCTTCCAACCAGAAGAACCCTGGAAACTAAGGAGTAAAGACTCAAAACCATCTCTATGAAAGGAAGAGAGGCAGGGCCCAGAGTGGGCTGGGTGTGCTTCAAGGGAGGCGGGGAGCGCCTAGGGAGGTGCTCTCCACACCCCCCATGCTGATTGGCTTGAGTGTTACATTAGCAGCTGGGCTTTTGATCTTGCTCCGGCAGCGAACACATATAAAGAATGTGAAGAACTTAGAAAGAGACCCAGCAGGGCGATCACAGAGGAAAGGGAGTGAACACAGCAGAGGTGCTGGATACTTCCTGCCTTCCCCTGGCTCCTGGGCTCTCTGGCAGCGTCTATTTCAACAAAGTGATATACTATAAGCTTCCAATGAAAGCCGAAGTCCCCGGGAGGGTCGCAGAGGCAGTGCTCCGGAATCTGCTCCTGCCTGGAGTTGTTGCTCTGTCTCTGACTACAGCTGTTCCTCCCTCAGCTCATCGTGAGGTCAGGTCCCAACAAACCTGCTGTAAATTCATAGCTTGACAGTGCACTCCCTCTCCCCTGCTGAGCAGTATCCCTTAACCAGCTCACCTTGCGTGTGCTCAGAACACTTATAACATCTGGGGGTTGAGCAAACTCATCTAACACAAAGCCTGGGGTACAGATGTGGAACCTCCCATGTGTTTATTGATCACCTGTATCAAAAAAACAAAACTGGCAACACAGCGTACTAGAGAGTTGCAGATGTTTGCTGCACTGATGACCTGGCAGCCTGGGACCTTCACTCACAGCCTGTGCCTGCGCCTTTGGGGTGGAATGACACTGCATGTCAGTTCTACTGAATATGTCCTCTTTTCACACCTTGAGAAAGTTAAAAAAAAAAAAATCATAGGCCACGATGGGCTGAAGAACCACCTGCATTTTCAAGTCCAATTACGTCACAGGTTGGGGAAGGCTCATCTCATGAGATCCAGTGTGAGGTATCTAAGATGAAGACGTGAAGGCTCCTTCTAAGGAAAGAAAAGTGGTGGGCTGCATCTGCACAGTGAGCCTCCCGGAAGCTCCCGCCCCAGAATCGCCTGGAAAGCCCCGGCAGTCTCTGTCATCACCACCCAACTGTTCATAAGGGACATGAGGTGGGGCTACCTTGGAACATGGCAGGAGAAATCGGGTGACTGATCCCCAGGGCCTCTTCTTCTTGAAAGGTCTCACAGAAGTCTTTCAGCATGGCTGTTCCCAGGCCATGGCGACGGTGCATCCTCCTGACGAACACAGTATCAAAGACAGGTAGCAGATAGCATGCGCTGGTGCCGTTGCCACACAGACTGCCTGGAGGGAAAGCAAGACACATACTGTCTCGGGTGCTGGGTGCTGAGCCCCTGGGACCCTGTGGGGATCCCTGCGTAGCCAAGGTCACTGGTGTCACCTAGAAGCAAAGGTAGCTCCACAAGCCAAGCCATCCATCAATGCTAAAACAGCAGCTCATTCCAAGCCACCACTTCTGTAGTTGACTCATCTGTTTTCTTGGAAGGCTCATGTTATCAATTGCTACAAGGGCACCACAGGACCACCAGATCCCTCCTCAGACATGAGAAGTAAACCTGGGGGACTCAGCAGAGCAACGTAGCTCATGTACCCAACCTCAAGATTTCACCACTCACAGATTTTTGGAGTCAACTAAGATTATCCTAAAGCATCAAAATTCTCCCTGCAAGAGTGAATCCTGAAGCCCAATGGGCTTGGAGACCAACCTATCTCATCCCAGGATATGGAATTGTTTCTATAACTCCAACATAGGTGCACAAGGCCAATGAGCATAAACACATCTACCACAAACCTACACAGCACCCTGCTTCCTATGAAACAGTGATAACCCTGCAGTAGCAAAAGAGAAGCTGCAGTTGGCTCCCTCCACACTTTACCACCTTGAATTTAACTTTATTGCAACCAGCACCAACACTAGCATGGCTGCCATTGCTCCAAGGAGAACTTGACCTCAATACCAGTCACCTATTTTCACTCCAACTAGAAAACAATTCCAGACCAAGAAATGGTCCCTGCCAAGATTCAGAAAGAGGGCAATTTCCCAAACCAAAACAAAACACCCTCTAATTTTATTGCAAAAGATACACACTACTGTGGTGAACTGTTTGCACAACTGCCCAAAGTTATTTCCCTTCCTATGTCCACAACTCTCTGCTTGTGATTTTTAACTTCATCCCATCAAGAAATGGAGTCTACCTTCCCTACCCTTAAATCTAGGCTGCTCTGTGATTTACTCTCAGTCACAGAATGAAGCAGGGTAACAGCTCACCAATTCCGAGCCTGGGTTTTGCGGGTCCTGTGTGCATCTATTCTCACTGAGGAACCTACTAGCCACCACGGGAACAAGACCAGACCAGTCTAATAGCATGAAAGAATGTGGTTTGGGAATTCTTATGGTACCAGCCAACCTACAACCTGTCCTAAGAAATAGACCCTGATGGCTAGGTCACTGTGGACACACAGGCAACGTTAGAAAACCATCTTGCTGAGCCCAGCCCCAGTGCCAAACAAAACATTTGATAGTTAACAAACAGTTGTCATCTTATGCTAAAAGTGAATAAATAACAATCTACATCCAACAAGGAAACTCAATTCACTTAAGATAGTAATTGGGGATTTCAGCCTCAACATGCTTGACAGCATCAACTTGACTGAAATTTTGGTAACTTCAACTTGTAGATGAGAGTGGGGGTAGGAGCACTTCACCATAAAGTGAAGTCTTGCAAAGTTAAGAATTTTTTGACTTAAATGAAGATGCAATTCCATTCAATAGGGCATTAAAAAGAAGTAAATATTCAGTAATATATTTAATATAAGAAGTATAGTCCTTGAACATTTAAAAATGTAAATTATTTGAAAGAAATCGAGACTCTAAGTAAACGCAGAGAAATTTCATGTTTATCAGCGAGATAACACAAAACTGTTGACAATTCTTCATGAGTTGACCTGTTAAGTTCAGTGCCGGCTCTACTAAAACCCCAGCAGGGTTTTTTTGCTGTTGCTGTTGAAATGTATAAACTGATCCTGAAATCTATATGAAATATAAAGTTTCTGAAATAAAATTGTTTGGAAAATGAAAAGCACAGTTGCATAGTGAGACCCTGTAGACCCCATACTAAATACAGGAATTACCAAAAGCAGCACAGTTGGATATGTTATGCTACCCAATGTCAAGACTTCATCAAGTCTCAAATCAGGTATCAAGTGTGATCCTGGCACCTACGTGGACACACAGGCCAATGGAACAGAACTGGGAGTCTAGAAATCAACACTTACACTTAGGTTTTCAATAAAGGTGCCAAGCGAACTCAGCGGGGAAAGGGTAATTTTTTTCCATAAATGGTGCTGAAGTAATTGGACATCCACATGTCCAATAATGAAACTAGACATAGTCTCTACACTCTTCACAATAATTATCATGAAACAGGTCATAGAGCTAACCGTAAATGCAAAGCCATGAAACTCCCAGAAGATAGCACAGGAGAAAATATAAATGACCTTAGTAAGGCAATAACTTTTCAAATACAACACGAATGCCATGAGCCATTAAAAAAACTTGGTAAGTTGGAGTTGATTAAAATACAAACTTTCTGCTCTGTTCAAGACACTATCCAAAGAAAAAGAAAGCCAACTACACAGACAGAGAAAATATCTGGACAAGACATGTCTGATTAAAAATTTCTTTAAAAAAATGTTACGCAAAATATATAAAGAATTCTTAAAACTCAATCAGAAAACCAAGAACCTGATCATAAAATGGGCAAAAGATATGAACAGATGCCTCACAAAAGAAGATGTGCAGATGACCAAAAGCATATAAAATGATCACTATGCAACTGTGAATTAAAATAATGAGAGGCAACTAACTACACACACTACAATGACTAAAATTCAAAACAAGGACAGCAAAATTTGTGAAAGATACAGAACAACAGGAGCCCTTATGCATTGTCAATTAAAACACAAAATGGTAAGAAAGAAAGAAAAAAGAAAAGCAAAATGGTACAGCCACTTTGCACAAACAGCAGCTTCTCAATAAAACTAAAAATCCTCTCACTCTATGACCCAGCAAACACATTCCTTAGTATTTACCTCAAAGAGTTGATAATTTATGTTCACACAAAAACCTGCACACAAATGTGGAGAGCAGATTTATTCATAATTGCCAAAACGTGAAAAGAACGAAGATGTCCCTCCACAGGTGAATAAATGATCGAATGGTGGTATACCTAGACAATGGAATATTGTTCAGCAATTTACAAAATGAGTTATACAGCCATAAAAAGAAATAGAGAAACTTTAAAAACATATTACTAAGTGAAGAAAGCCAAACCTGAACGGGGAACATTTTAGTGCCCCAGAATTACAACATTCCATAAACCCTTTGACATCCAGGAAAAGGCAAAACTAAGGCTGCAATTTAAAAACTGGTTATAAGAATGGGTAAGTGGCATACAGAAGACCGAGGGCAGTGAATCTAGTCAGTATGACACTACAATAGTGTTTACGTGTCACTAGACATTTGTCAACTCCACAAAACACTCAACACTAAGAGTAAGCCTCCTGTAACTGGCTGTTAGCTAATGATAATGTAATATTATGGGCTGAATTATATCTCCCTAACACTCACGTGCAGAAGTTCAAGCTCCCGGGACTTCAGATTATGTCTCCGGACAAAACACACAATCTAATGAGACCATCCAGGTAGGCCCTAATCTACCACCTAATCCACCCAGTGGTGGATTAGGGCCCTGTGTACCTAGTGTTCTTAGAGAAGGAGAAAACTAGAACACAGAGTAAAACACCAAGGAAAAAGAGCTGTGGCAGAAATTAAAGGCGATGGCAACTTAATCTTTGACTTCCTGCCTACAGAACAAAGACAAAATCAAATTCTGCTGTTAAAACCACCCAGGTTGTGGTATTTTATCATTAGATTCCTAACTAACTAATATACATGTCAATATTTGTTCAGAGATTGCAAATTCACCACAATTAACGCAGCAAATTAAGAATAGAGGAAATAAGAATGTAAGTTATATTGTCCTATATCCTTAACTTCTCTGAAAGCCTAGAACTGCTCTAAAAATGATGTCAACTATTTCTTAAAAATGTATTACAGGTTGAATGCTTGCTTAGCATGTGCAGGACTCTGGGTTTGATCTCCAGCACAAAAACAAAGGAAAAAAGACTTGCAGAAAAGAGGGTGAAAATATAGAGAAGAGAAGAAAGGTGTGGGCTGCAGTGAGGAGGTATACAGTATGCATGAACAAATATGTGAAAAACCAAACTTACTATTCTGTATCACACCTAGTAATAAAAACACACACAGAAAAGCCAAGCTAGGGCCGGCCAAATACCTCAACAGATTAAAGCATCTGCAAGCAGGCACAAGGGTCTGGAGTTCAATGCCCAAGCCTGCCATGCCGTTCCCAGCCTCACGGCGCACTGAGACAGCAATTGAGACTGGGCATGGTGGCATGTGCCTGTAATCCCAGCCCTTGGGGCAGATCACTACAAGTCTGATGTAGTAGTGAGACCCTGAACCCTGTAGACCCTTCCCTAAAATACAAAAACAAAGAAAGAAAGAAAGAAAGAAAGAAAGAAAGAAAGAAAGAAAGAAAGAAAGAAAGAAAGAAAGAAAGAAAGGCCAAGCCAAAAATGTATTAAATAATTTTGAAATCAAGTTGGTTTCTTACCTCACATCTAATACAAAAGATGCAATGCAGAAATTAATTCAAGATAGACCTCAGACAAAAATGCAAAAGCTAAAACAATAGAACTTCTGCGGAAAGAAAAGAAACATGAACAAATCTGCAAAACTTTGGGTTACACAAAGAATGCTAAGATCCAACACCAAAAGCACACTCAATTGACAGATCCAACTTCAACATTTTAAAACTTTTCCCTTTCAGAGGCGTAGTCAAGAAAGCAAAAGCCAACCCGCAGACCACATGAAAATGTTTGCAGATCACATTTCTGATAACATACTTCCAACCAGAATAAAGAACTCTTACAGTCTAATAAGAAGAAAGTAAACTGATTAAAACTGGGGAGGAGATTTGAACAGATATTTCTTCCTAGAAGACATTCACACGAGTAATTATCAATAAAAATTATTCAACACAATTCATCATTTGGGAAGTGCAAGTTAAAACTACAATGGAGGGGCTGGTGAGATGGCTCAGTGGTCTAAAGCACCTACTTAGAACAAGCTAAGCAAAGCACAGGGACCTTGGTTCAATCCCCCAGCACCACATGCCAGCCACCCCCGCCCCCTGGTGGGC